ATAAATTCATAGCCTTGATTAAACAATAAATGTTTTATGACCAATGTTAGCTAAAAATGATAGATCCTTTTTTACTTCTTAAATACTGATACTATTTTCTATAACTTAAAACTAATGATATTATGATTTATGCCAGCCTTTTATTCAATTTTAATAAATTTTAAAAAGGGGAAAACAGGACCCCATATGCAAACACTAGATCTTACAAATATTTATAAAATTTTTTTCTTAATTGTGATATTGAGAATCTTACTGCTTTTGAACATGATTTGGTAAGTTAAATCAAATTTCAAAAGATAGAATTTAAACCGGTCATCGTGGAAAGGCTGAAAACTCTGAATCAGCAAGGTAAATCTCCCAGCTGCAGAATTTATAATCATGCAGCTTCACTAGCTTGTCAGGTAAGTAAAAATTATGAAGAGACTTCTGTGGACCCATCTCTCAGGTCCACTTTTTTTTAAGAGAGAGATAATTTTTTAATATTTATTTTTTACCACTTGAACCACATCCCCAGCCCCTCAGATCCACCTTTAATGTGCTTTGCAGGGTGGACAGGAAAGTTCACCCATGTAACTAGATTAACTGTACTGACTATAACATAACATATTATATAACTATAACAACATATAGTTTCATCTATATGTTGATCCTATGGTAAACAGGCTGTCTGGGAGTATCTTTTGAAATAAAGACAGCATATGACAAACCTAAACCAGCCATGGTCCTTAGAATTTAAGACTCTATTTACATATCTAAACAATTGTCAAAATAGAAAGATTGTTGAAATAGAACTTTCCTATACAAGTCAGTTATTTATACACTGGCGCCTTAGAATTGAGAAAAACAATTACATCAGGGTGCCATAACTCCTAGAAGTTTCACCCTCAGTGAGATGGCACCCAGAAGGATGTTTGATGCTTAACTTCTGCCTCAGAATTTTTGCATTACTGACAGACTTAAGAAAATCCTTAAATGTGGGAATTAAGAGAAAGGGTGATAAATATCCTAAACTATAAAAAAAATGCAACTTGCCTATTTGTATCACTAGTTATATTAGAGGAAAAGGACATTGATCTTTCAACAATATTCCTTTGTCTTATTGTCAGCAAACATTTCAAAACCATGGCATGCTGAAATTAACATTCAGACTTGAAACAGGTGTATTCCAGATAACCAGACCTAGGCAAGCTCTTGATCTCTTGATCCTTGAAATGACTACTTTAAATTTATTTATTGTTTCTACAATTACATTGTTGATACAATAGCCTTTATGGCTATGTTTTAAAACTTACAACATGTGGATTTTCTTAATATTTGACTTAAATTACTTCTAAGATCCTCCGTAATCAGATAAGTGCTGATGGAAGGATTGGAACTAAGTTGAACACTCTAGAAGCTACTGTAATGAATAATGCAAATGAGCTCTCTGCTCTATGGTTTTAAGAAAGGCTTGAATGCTATGCTACCTATAAATATGTCAGTGTTCCTATATCCAGATACAAAGTTTTCCAATAAAATTGGGAAAAGATTAAAAATCTTCTGATGAGTGTTTGGCAGAGTAATAATAATAACTGGGATCTTTCCAAGTTAATTCAATGACTTTAATCCTAAAAATATGCTGAAACATTCTATATGGTATGTCATTGAAATGATATGTTTTCTACTAATTCTTTTTGTGTCTCACTAGTAGGTCATGATGACCTCAGACCAAGAATACAGTGACTGGAAGACAAATTCCCAATTGCCTTTATAAGTTAAGAAAGATGGAAATGTGGCGAGCCAGCCAGGGGCTGTGTGTGTGTGACCTATGAGCATGAGGATATGAGTGGACTGGAAGGATGATGCCTCTCTGTTTGGGTTGGGGACATATGTGTCTTGTTCGCTCACTCTGTCAATGATCCCCACAAAGCACATGAGATGGGCATGGCCTTCCAAGATGTCAGTCAATCTGCTGACCACAAGACGTCATGAAGCTAGACTTAACCCCCTGAAACCTGACCTTCTCATTGGGGTGAAACTTTCTCCAGGGTCATCCCCTCAATAAAAAGGGGCTTCAGAATGTCCTTTTCCTCTTTTTTGTCTGCCTCCCTTATGGGAGCTGGAAGAGAAGGGCCGTCACAGAAGAATCCCAAGAAAAAGGTATTTTTTCTATCTCTGTATGATTATTTTGTGCCAGCCCAGTTCACCTGGAGTGATCCTGAATGACTTAGTCATGTGTCSTGACATCACCCTTTTCTAACCCCTAATGAACTATTGGATCTTGGTATTGAACAATCTTTCAGCTAGGGAGACAGTAGCACTTATGGGCCTCATTAGGGAAGAACACAATCTGGCCTGTGAGGTAATTTTTAAAAATCTTAATCTCATCAAGGCTTCATTTAGCAGAGTGGCTCTAGACTGTGAAGGAGAGGCAATTTTGGCCCCAAGTTGATATTTGTCAGTGTCAGGAGACATATTTGATATTCACATCTTCAGCCTGTGTGAATACTACTGGCATCTAGCAGGTTGAGGCCAGAGCTGCTGCCAACCATCCAACAATATCCAGGACAGCCATGCAATAATAAAACATTACCTGGCCTCAAATTTCAATAGYGTTGAGGTTAAACAGCCACAAATTCCAAGAAGCATGAAGGGGAGGGGACAATGACTAGTCATACCATGGGAATAAGCAAAATCCCAATGATCTAAAATTCCAGCATTAAAAATGCAGTTTCTTTAACAACAATAAAACATTTGGGAGGTAGTACAGGAAGAAAATGAGAACAGGAAGAGGGACCTGTAGATCTAAGGAGAGAAAAACACACCAAACACACCRATTAATGAAAGTTATAGATCTTATCTGATTCCCAGTTTGAATAGTTTGATGGTTATAAGCAATTGGATTTTTGAGCATTGAATGGATATTTACTATTAAGGAAGTTTTGGATATTATAATGGTGGTGTTAAGTCAAGAAAGAGACTGCATCTTTTGGAAGTCCATCCTGAAATACTCTTGGGTAAACTATGTGATGCCTGAGATGTATTTCTAATTGCTGTGGGAAGCAGGAAGTGGCTAGAGGTACAGGTGAAACAAGATTTACTCTGTATTGATAATAGTTGAAACTGAGTGTCAAGTACAAAGGGGCTCATTAAACTATTCTACATTGTATTTATTTAAAATTTTTCCACGCTGGAGTGGAGAGGCAGTGCATAGAAGTTGACTTCAAATCTTATTCCCTGGTGACTAGGAGAACTTCGTTTGTTTGATATTTATTGGCTCAGAAAAGTCAGAGGGATGTATTTTAGTTTGAAATTATTGCATTTTATATAAGAGATTATCCAAGGAACAATTCAAGGGGGCAAGTGGAAATAAACTCTTGAATTCCAGTTCAGAAAAATCTTGTTAAAATGAAGTCAAATTCAGTGGATCTAGGGGAAGAACTTGAGGTTCTGCATTTGTAGGAGATGCCAATGCTGYTTTCTAAACTGAAGTCTGAATTGCAAGGCTGTAGATAACAATTCTTACAAATAAAAAGCTTAGATTTCAGCTCAAGCAGAAGGAAATGGATCTGATTAGATTCTAACTGTGGTAGATGGGTTCCACCCTCTGAATACCAGTCATGCTGACAGTTCAGATTAACAAATGAGAGATCTTAGCAGGGCTTCTGTGAAAGTAAATAGGATGGCATTCACTTGTTTTCAGAGACCAAAACCAAAACTGACCACATTTGTTGAATACAAACTAAAAGAAAAGCAGTTAGCTAGAAAAGCATAGCAGACTTATTTGCTTGTTCTCTTCTCGAGAAGGTAGAATAGATAAAACATCAGAGTCCTTAAATGGTTACACTACCATGAACACTTGTCACCAACTAGTCACTGATCCTCATGTCAGTTTATGGAGGCTGCCAACACTGTTCACTGAAATATTCAAATAAAGGCCCCTAAAGAATTTTCTCTTAGGGATATCTGGTTTCTACTTTAAAAAGGATAGAATTTAAAGCAAATAAAAAAGCTTTAGGCTTCCAGGCAAAGGTAGAGGGACATAGCTAGGTCTAAGCTATTCTTTATCTCAGTTACATTTTACTCAGTAAATGCTAACATAGCATCATAAATGGGAACCAAAAAGCTTAGTTACATAAAATATGAGGTCATGATTTKGGGTGTGTTAATAAAATATCTTAGGTAAAAGCTTGCTTTCTGGAAATTTTGAAAGTTTCGAGTCTTCTCTTTTTTTTTTTTTTTTGAATCAACTAATGGCGGTTGCATATTCTGGTTTGTATATCAGTGGGAATGTGGGAATGTTACTGGATTCTTTAGTTGGTAGGACAGTGATGGTCATTGCAAAAAATAGTTTGGTTAGTTGGTGCCTGTTGGCTGAGATCCAAGGAAATGAGGGAAGAATAATAGCAATGATAGAGTGTACTGTTTATGTCTTAACTTCCTGAATCAGAGGTGCCTATTGCTTCCCAACATACCCTTCTCCTTCTCTCCTTGGGAGGTGAAAGTGAACTGACCTCAGTTCAGTTTATATCCCAGCGGGCTTTCTCCTTGGGTTAAACATGCAAAAGAGCAGGTGGTATGCCCACTGTGCACATGGAGAGACAGCTTCACTGACAATAGCCATTGTCAATGGCAATTGAAAGTAATTTACCTGGTATCAAACAGATGTAAGAAGAGTCAATATTCAACCCCAGCACTGTCTTTTGACAGCATTCATGTTTCATGACTCCTAACTGAAGTGTAGGAGAGAAACCAAATGAGAAGAACGGAAGAGAAATTTCACATTCCCAAGAATGTGTTCTCTCAGGTGTTTCAAGATAAATTTCTAAGTGAAAAAAAAATGGGCTTCTTTAAATTTGAGAAAAGAACTCAAAATACCAAATGTGAAGTTTATGGATGCCAATTTATTTCTAAAGTCAAAATTACAGAAAGAAGCACTGGGTTTTATACATTGCAGAAAACTGTTTATGAGAAAGAAAAGCATTTTGCAAAAAGAAGTGAAAAACTTCTAAAATCCACAGCTATTCTTTATCTTCTGACATCATAGAAASCATTTCATTATAAACCTCTTGTGGAGCGTTAATTGCCCAGATAAAGTCCAAGTGGTTGTAAGGAAGAATCTCCTTGTGGTAAATGAGATTGGAGAGTTTGGGAAGCAAAATGTTGACGTCGTGGGGGTCAGCCAAAATGTCATTGCCACCATTCCACACTGCAATCGGCACACTCATGGCTGTCACATTGTAGTAGGGAGGTGTGCGCTGAAAAAAGATGAGAGAAAGAATCAGGGTTTAAGTGGCCATGCTATAGACCCAATGAGCATTCTTTGAGTAGACTGAGTAACATAACTGACTTGGTCACTTTCATCCACGAAGCAAAGCAGAAACAACATAGTTTGGATTGGTGCTTCTCAAATTAATGGGTGTGTGAATTACCTGAGGATCTTGTTAAAATGAAGGTGAAGTCAGTAGATTTGAAGGAAGAGCTTAGGATTCTGCTTTTGTAGGTGATTCTGATGCGGCTGGTCCTAACCATGATTTGAATTGCAAGATTTTGGTAATAATTCTTACAAATTAAAAACGCCAGATTTTAGCTCAAGCTGAACAAAATTGATATGATTAGATTTTAACTCTGGTGGATTGTTTCTATACTCTAAAGTATGGTCTCAATGTGTCCTGAGGCTTTTACTTTGGCTTTGTATTGACTCCACAGTGCAGCTGGTGAATAGGTCAGTCCATTCAGTTTTGAAGCTGAATCTGTTGGGCACTTACTTGATTTTACTAAATATTGCTTTAAGCTCTGAAACAAAGTATCATCAGTGTCATTTCCTATTTTTAGAAAATTACCATTAACACAAAAAAATTTCAGGAGATTCATAAAATGGGAAGAAGTACAAGAGAATCACCTCCAATTTGCCCAAAACCTAGAAACAATTTTATTAGATTTTTGATAATATACTTTCAACAATATTAATCTAATATACAAAACTTACTCTATTCTCACTTATGAAATAGCCAACTTGTCATAGCAATATGTTCATTGTGTATAATTTGTTCTTGCATTTTAATCCTTTTTATTTTATTTCCCTGTATATTAGAGAAAAATATGGAGAATATCTATAATTTAAATTAATTTTCTTTTATTTATACCCCATTGTTCAAAGAGTTTCTTAAATGCTACCTCTGGCTCTTAAATTAGCATTACTGCTTCAGTTAGTTCAAGACCAACCTGAACTGTTATTGACTTGGTTGGAARGAGGACAAACTTGTGGATTGGATATTCCAGGTCTCACTTGGCCCCCTAAGATGAGGTCCAGTATTAGGGCCCAGTAGAAAGATAAACTCAAAGCAAACTGTACTTTAGAGGTTTGAGAAGGTTATGGTTGGGGAAAAAGTTTTTTCAACAAAAGTTTGATCTGAGGATGGTATGAAAATCTCTTTAAAGACATCAAAGATGTAAACTAAAGTGGGGGATCTTCTTTACAATAAGATGGTGTTATAGAAACATATATGTCCCTTCTAAATTTGAGTCATGAAGAGATGAAAAACAGTAGAGTTGCTCGGTTACTTACTATCTAGGAGGAAAATTTAAGGATGGAGGCAGAGGAAGAAGAGAATTTTACAAAATCATGAAGGGTGCTTCCCTTGTTCAAAATTAGTCAGTGACAGTCTATCATGAGCTAAGGGACTATAGATATTATGCCAATAAATCTTGTCAATAACTTCCTAAATCTGGGTAGAGTKATGCAGAAGTTATTACAAAAATGTGCACTGACTACAGGTAAGATGAATTCCCAAGTCTGGGCCMTTTGTACTACAGTAAGTGTGAAAACTGTTCAATATGTCTGTTTGTGGCTTGGTGAAAACTATTCCTTGCCTTGACTGTAAGCATGCCATTTTTTTCTTCTGTATGGGAATGTGTTCCTGTGAAATAACTCCTCTGGCTGTCCACAAAGGGGAGGATATTGTTTGAGAAAAGTAAAGGTTCCAGCTCTATCCCATGTATAGTTGGAATTGTTAATTTGCTATATAGGTTAGTTGTACTTTAGAAAGTGGGCTGGAGACTGGGTTACACAGCAGGCCACTGTAATGACAACAGGTGGTGCTGCATTCTAAATAGTGTCACAGGTCCAGTGTGCTGCTCTGAGGGAAGTTTGAGCACAGCCACTGAAGCAGGAGTGCAGAGCCRTGTGGGAGAATAGGAGACTGGGCATCAACACTTCCCTTAAGAAATAGATGCTCAAATATCAGAATTTTTTGCATATGTGAATAATTTCAACTTTAAGTTACTTACCTGATTATAGTGTCTCATGTTCTGAAATGGGCTTCCCCAGTCAAAAGCTTGAAATTTTCCAGACCTAGCAGCCTAATATAGAAAAATTGAAAACGCACACAAAAAAATTCTCATTGCATGAAAAATTAAATTCAAACATTTCCAAGTAATTTATTTTCAGTTTAARCAACTATTAAAATATTTTTTATTCCAAATAAAATTATTAAACATCTAGACAGGGTCTATATGCAAGTTTAAATGCAGTTTTGCTTGAAATAATTTTTCTTGCAAGCCCACTCACAAAAATAWTTTTTTTTTTTTGCTACTCAAACACCTGTTTTGTAAAGTTCTGTTTCAAGTTTTCTGAGGAATATCCATACTGCTTTCCAGAGAGGTTGCACCAATTTGTAGTCCCACCAGCAATGTATGCATGAACCTTTCCCCCAACGTCCTCACTAAAAGTTATTGTTACTTGTTTTCTTGATAATTGCCATTCTGAATAGAGTGAGATGGAATCTCAGTGTAGTTTTATTTTGCATTTCTCTAATTACTAGAAATGTTGAACATTTTTTTCATATATTTGTTAATCATTAGTATTTTTCTTCTATGAAGTGCCTGTTCAGTTCCTTTGCTTACTTATTGATTGGATTATTTGGTTTTTTGGTGTTAAGTTTTTGCATTCTTTGCACAAAACTCAACTCAAAGTAGATCAAGGACATAGGCATTAGACCAGAGACCTTGTGCCTACTAGAAGAAATTATAGGCCCAACTCTCTGTCATGTTGGCTTTAGAACCAACCTCTTCAACAAAACTCTTAAAGCACAAGAAATAAATCAAGAATCAATAAGTAGGATGTATTCAGACTAAAAAGATTCTTCTCAGCAAAGGAAACAAAAAAGAACATGCAGAAAGAGCCTACAGGATGGGAGAAAATCTTTGCCAAGTGCACCTCAGAGCATTAATTTCCAAAATATACAAAAAAAAAAAAARRAAAMYWAAAAAAAACCCTCAACAGTAAAAAAACAAATGACCAAAATGATAATTGAGCAGAATGTTTTAAGGTTGTGTTTTAGGTAAAATGCAAAGGTTCAGACCAACAAAATAAGTTTTAACAGAATTGAAGTAATGATACCTGGGCCCAGTGGAGGACATCTTGAACAGAAGTTCCTGCTGGATTATGTGCTAGATAGACATCAAAGCGACTCTAGAAACCAAACACACACACATATATGCATGCATACTTAGACACATAGTTTCTGAAAAATAGCTAATATCTGTTTCTGATTGAGGTCAAGTGTTTTAGGGTAGCTTTTACTGGAAGGGAATAAACAACATAGTTGCATGTGACATTGGAGTTTTCCAAGTGTAATTATATGTTTTAACTCAGTTTGTAGCCACTCAATGAAGGAGTTTATTATCACCATTTTGTCAAAATGGAAACTGAGACTCAAAGAAGTTCAGAGAAATTTTCATTCTCACATAGTGAGTAAATTGTGGAGCCAAAGACTTCAATCTATATCTCTGAATCTGAATTCTCAGCTTTTTATTGCTGTCGGCCCAGGGCCAGAGTGCAGTAAATTAAATCTAAACAGATAGGCACTTTGCTTTGCTGAACTTTAACATATATGAAATAGTAACTAAATATATAGATATATATATTTTATATATATATATACACATACATACATACACACATACATATATGCATGTATTTATATATAATGGTAATTATATATACATTTATACATATATATTCATATATACATATACCACACATTATATATACATACATATAACACATAATAGTATATTCCTCTTGTTATTATTATTACTGTGCATAGACACCTATCTTTCTCAAAATTGTTAGTTTAATTTGTACCTTTGAGCATAAACAAATTTATATACATGTGTGAAAGGGGGAATGTAATTAGTCCCTCTGAAGATCTTTTCCTGTTACATAAGGCAGTTTAGCATTCTGCTCCCTAGGAAGTTTCTTCTGGATAAAATAAGGCCATGCAAATACAAGGTATAATTGGAGATATTTATATCTCCAATATGAATATATATATATATATATATATATATATATTCATATTCACTTATGCTATTTTATGAAGACCCTAAATCACCTTGCTCAGACCTCCATCAGAAAACTTAAGTACCCTTCTTGGATTGCATAGGTCAGTTCAGAGTGGGCTTTAAACCTTGACTGTAGACAACATCAAATAAATTGACAACATTCACAGGAGATTCAAGAATCTCCACCTACTCATGCAAAAAATGAAATCTAAATTTCTTTGTTCCCTAAATATCTATTTTACTATTATTTTTTTCATAAAATTTTTATTGATGGAATACAGTAATTTATACTGTCCTTTCTTAGTATGATATGGAGAGACTGCTCTGTTCTATTCCACATGCTGAATGATGAATGACAAGCCCCCAAATCATCAAGAACTCATTTCTATTTATCATTTATCATCCTAAGTAGGGAACAGAGAAAATACATGCATATACATATGTGTATAATATATGTATGTGTACACACACACACACACACATATATATATATATATATATATATATACATTTTTAAATAAAAATATATTTTAAATATCCACAGATCCACAGTGATGGTCACCAGCCTCAAGAAAGAGAACTGAATCTTTGAACTCCATGAAATCAAGAGCTATATCTATCTTTTCACCCCTGTTCTCCCAATGACTACAAGACTCTGTAGAATTATACCTTTCTATCAATAAATTTGTTTATGTTCAAAGGTACAAATTAAACTAACAATTTTGAGAAAGATAGGTGTCTATGTACAGTAGTAATAGTAACAAGAGTAATACACTATTATGTTATATGCTTTGTACTATGTTTTATATTCTTTACRTATATTAGCTGACTCAAGATTCATACTAATACATTTTGTAAATGAGGAAAACAAAGCCAGTTCAAGGGTAGGATGTGAATTCAGGATCACATAAATCTATATATTTAACTACATTATTATATTGCATTTTCTCAAGTAAGTCCTAAAATTGCAACTCAATGCAACATTTTTAAATGCAGATCTTGCTCTGCAAATCAAGAATATGGGCAAGATGTTACATAAATGTTTTTTCTGAAGTATTCTTTATAAAATGTATGGAATGACTAGCAGCTTCAAAAATATTTATAAGAACACTTGTTCAATGCCTAGACATTTTTTTCTGCAAAGGAGCCTGTCAAAATGGATGGTTCAGTTCCTTCTACCACATAAATTAAATGCTACACCAATTACTTAGGTGAGCAAAAATGAATCATGAATTTTTGTTTTTGTATTTTCTGCATGGCATGTATTTACTTTAGGGGCAATCAGGGTGATGGAAAAGAGCAGGAAATGACAAAATTGTAATGGAGCCATGACTTGTGGTTCCTCACAGGTTTACCAGGAGATCAGGGAAATGATTCTGATTATTCCTAGTTCTTATATGATTCCATTTTTATGTGATGATGAAAAATAATCAAAGGCATTCTTCAAAATATTCAGAATARAAGCCATAGGCATACACACCGTGTTCAAGTTCTTACTGTCAAATCCACACATGATAAACAATGCATTRCTACAAAGGAGATCCATTAGCTCTCGGGAACACACTTCAGTACCAAGAAATCCATAAAAGAAGTTGTGTGGGAGGAATATTCTGTTACCAAATATGATCTGAAAAACAAAAGCATCATTAGATCATTGAAGAATTCAGGCTGCACAATGACTCATTACCTAGTTGGGATTATACAAGTGGGATTAGGATGATGATATTTTCTTACTTCTATAGGTTGTTTTGGAATATCCTATACTTTCTCTCATTTAATTCCCATGACGAGGTTGTAAAATGGACAGGACTGATATCCACACTGGGTGTCTATTGGTATACTGAGAACAGTACTGGCTGCTCAGAGGAAGCAGAAGATGTGAGTTACAATCTAACTGGGGTATTAAGAGTTACAGGAAAAAAATCATGAAACAACAATGGCAGACTGTTGTAATTATGTGACAAGATGTGCGATTTTAATAATAAGTCATGGAAAGAACACGAGGGTAAATGGTGACTCTGAGCCATATTTTTAGCAAAACCTTTGGAGATCTGTCCTAATTATTTTGATGAAGGCAAACTTTTTGTTTTCTTCCTTTTATACATGAGGAAACATGAAGTTAATACATAGTATCTTGGGCTAATTTGAAYTACATTTACCTAGAATCCTTACCTAATTCTCTGACTTAAGGTCTTAATGCCTTGTCTTTCTAAGTCACTTTGCACTGCTATAAAAAAGAATCTGAGGGCAGTAGGAAATAAACTCTGGGTCCGTGCAGCAGTAAACACAATTAGGGTCATCACTACATTTTAGAGTTTAAATAAAAGGTTTATTAATGGATTTTGACCATAGATAAAGTATCTTTGGCTTTAGACACACCTATTAATACAGAGTGAAAAGAAATTAATAGTACATAGATCAATGGATAAAGAAACTGTGGTGTATATATACATAATGGAACATTACTTAGCRTTAAAAGAGAATAAAATTATGGCATTTGCAGGTAAATGGATGGAGTTAGAGAATATCACGCTAAGCCAATCCCAAAAAACCRAAGTCTGAATGTTCTCTCTGATAAGTGGATATTGATCCATAATGGGGATTGGGGGGCATGGGAAGAATGAAGGAACTTTGGGCAAAGAGGAGGTGGAGAGGGGAGAGCATGGGGGCAGGAAACATGGTAGAATGAGATGGGACATCATCACCCTAGGTACATGTATGACTGCACATATGGTGCGACACTACATTGTGTACAGAGAAATGAAAAGTTGTGCTCCATTTGTGTACAATGAATCAAAATGCATTCTGCTGTCATATGTAACTAATTAGAATAAGTAAATAAATAAATATTATAAAAGAAATTAACAGTACAAAACCACAGAAGGACATAACATTATTACATTTCATAGCCTAAAACTAAATGATCCTAAAGGAAGTGTGTGTGTGTGTGTGTGTGTGTGTGTGTGTGTATCAAGCACTGGAAAAAGGAAAAAGATTATTAATTCTGTACAGCGTGTGCCTATTCAATAGGCATTTAATTTTGTGTTTTATTGACATCCACACTATTGCCCTATGAAATCTCCATTTGGAGTTGAAGGAGCTTGTAGGAAAAGAGCTCTTAAGAACGCCAAGACTGTTTTATTAAGGGTCTCAGTATATTTTCTTGACTCAACCATTGATTTCTTTCCCCTCTTTCTCCTTTTCCTCTTTTCTTTGCCTTTTTTTCATCTTCCAGGTTAACATGGCCCTGATGGGTTAAGCTTCTGCTTTGACTATTTTTCTTCAATTTTATGCCCCATTCCCTTCTACAGGAGTGGAACTGCAGCCTTCACACAGCTATGTAGAGTGCTTGATAAATGAMCTATCTATGAAAAAGCCAAAACATTTATAAGCTTGGGCTCATCAGGCTAATSAAGAACAAAGAAATCAATAGGGGATCTCACAGGCTGGAGAGGGGAACCAGCCATGACACGTGCTATGCAAGGGACAATATAAACATGTACAGTTCCATTTTGAGATATGAACACATTTGTCCTGCAGGTGTGCTGCTCCTTCCATCACTTCAAAGCCCATGGGTAATTGGCCACCTCAAGGTCAATGAACTAAAGAGAATCACTTACCTTGAAGAGGGGTGATGGAATAAGTGAAAGTTTTGTTAAAAGGCTTGTTGCATACTTCACAGTGGCAACTGGAGCTAATGCATAAAAGGTTTTGATTCTTCTAGCCAGTGTGGGATTGGTAGAAAAGGCAATAAAACCTGAAATAGAACAAGGAACATGTGAAGAAAGGGTGTGTGTGATGTTTTGTTTTTACAAGTGTGGCATTATCTTGCTCATAGTAAAGATGGCATCTGACACAAGCTGAGAAATTGGCACTTCTGCTTGCTCAGATATTAACGAGCATGGTAATAGCAATTTAAAGTCTGCTAGTGGAAATAAAAGGATGGAAACATTCAAAATTCAAATAACTTAAAAGAGTAGTAGATTGGGGTTTGGGGGGTATCAGGAGAAGCAGCCCATTTACCTCMATATGTTCTAAGGAAACTGCTATCTTGCATCTTGATACAATAATTTTATAACCCCAGCCCCAGATCATCAAGAAAGGGTTAAACTGTGTTTAATATGTACCAGTAAAAGAGTCAGAGGAGTGTGTCATAGGTAGGTGTAGTTTTCCATCCAGAAATGGATATATGTTTTAGAAATTTAAAGGTATAAATTTTAGTAACCTAGAAAATGTCCTGCTTTATAATAAAGGGTTTTGAGTGGATATTGAATGTATACCACTGGTGCTCTGCTATCCAGATTGAGGCAGTTCCTTAATCCTAGCTACAGAGAAAAGTGTGACCAACAGTCCCATATGTGAGTTCCCTTTGCTATTGCTTATGCTGAGGAGATCAGCTTCACTAAAGGTAACAGGCCCCCTTCCTGGGGGCATCCTGCATCTGACAACTGGTCAAGAAGTAGTTAAAAAGGCCAGGTCCCCTGGCCCCACTGGGGAAGACTCTTAAGGAACTATTTTGCAGCCCAGCCTCTCTTTCTGACCATGCTTGATTTTTGCCCTTTACCCTAAAAGTGTTTCTAAGAAACTTGCAGAAGGAAGTTTCTAAGAAACTTACCCTCATCTTCTTGGGAACCGGACCTAGTATACAAGRACAAACACATTGGGAAGCTCTACATAACCGACTTTCTCCTCTAAAATTTGAGGTCAATTCTTTAGCTGCTGGAGGAGAACTTCTTACAAGCTTCTACCACCTATTTCATCCACTTCTCTGCYTATGTGTCCATGGGAATTGTGGAGGAAGGAAGGTTATTATCAGGTGAGAGTGAGGGGCAGCATAAAAATGTGCCACGATTTCTCGTAGATGACCTCCTTTTCCCCCTCCAACTTCCACACTATTTTTCCTTTATACCTTCTCTCATACTCTCTTGAACTCACTTCATTATACTTTCACTCTAACCACTCCACCAGAACTGCTCTTCCAAAAGTCTCATAATTTCTAGGCTCCTATATCCAATGGTTCATTCTTGGGCTTTATTTTCACTTGACTTATCAATAGTCTTTTTCACAGTTGACCACATTCTCCTTAAAAYACTTTCTTCCCTTGGCTACCAGAATAATGGATAATTTTGTTTCCCTGATACTATTGTCATCTTATCACTATATCTTAGTTTCTTTATTTGTTTCTTACTCATCTTCTAAATTATGGAGTAGTCCAGGGCTTATCCTAGGACCTCTCCTCTTTCCTACCTAAACTTATGGTATTACATTCTGCAGCACATCCTGATGACACCTGTTTTGTATTTTTAGCTCAGTCTTCTCCCATATATTCCATATCTGTTATATAACTGACTGCTTGACACCTCTACTTGAATCTCCAATGAGCACCTAAGGGTGTTTCAAAACTGAGCTCCTGCTCTCCCTACATCAGCTCTCTTCATAGCTTTCCCCATCTAGGTTAGTGGCATCCCCATCATTCCATGTGCTCAGGCATAAAGTTCACCATCATGCYGACTCCTTTTTTATTTATTATTTTTTACATACATCACAATGTGAATTTGGTGTCAACATACCTTATATACAAACAGAGATTTGATAAAATTGTGGTAGAAAGGTATTAAGAATTGCAATGCAAAAGAATCATGAATGTAATGCACTCCTTTTTTTTTTCTTTTTTTACTCTTATGCCTGATATCCAATATATCAGCAAATCCTGTGGGTTCCATCTCCAAAATGTATCTAAAAGATATATCTAGAACCTGGCCATATGTGTTCACTTCCACAGCTACCCTCACCTCCAGTCACCAGCATAAATTATTATAAGTCAGCATAACCTCCAGCATGAATTATTTTAGGAGTCCTCTAAGTGGTTCTCTGTTCCTTCTTATGTTCCCCTTCAGCCACCAGAGGGATCTTATTACAGGTCATCTAGCTCCTCTATTCAAAATTTGTCCATGATTTCCTTTTTCACTCAGCATGAAAACTGATATCCTGTTCATCCTGAACAGATTGCCCTCCCCAAACTCTGTAATCTTGTGTCACTCTCCCCATCTCTCTGTCTCTCTCAGGCTGATTCATCCACAGGAGGAACTGCGTCACTCCTATTCCTTGAACATACTGAGTGTGCTCAAGCTTCAGATTCTGTACACCCTCTGCTCTGTCTTCCTGGAGCACAGCCAGCCAGGTATGCACATGAGTTGCTCCCTGACCTCCTTCAGTGTTTACCCAGAGGATTTTTGTGTGTGTGCATGTGTTCGCTTTCAAAAATTGCTCTGAAACCCTCTGACACTCCCTAATATCCTTCCCTATCAAAAATTGCTTTGAAACCCTCTGATACTCCCTAATATCCTTCCCCAATTAGTTTTTCCCATAGCATTATTATTGCTTAGTACATTGTATATTTAACATTCTAATCTTTGTTATTTTCCCTGCCTCCTCCCACTAGAGTATAGAGGATGTGAAGGCAGAGATTTAATCTATTTAATTTAATTTATTGTTGTGTTCTTTGACAAGCCTTAGGCCAACTCATTCTCCATAAATATGATTGAAGGAACAAAATRAATTCAGCCTAGAGGCTGAAAGATGCTGACGTGAGAGATTGCCTGAGCTGATACTTGAGCCACCCTATTGAACCTATTGGTAACAGCTAATTGTTATCTTGTACAATTTATCCCCTTAGATTTATTTTTACCCATCTATTGTCCCTGTATCATTAAGTTGTCATAGTACTGATTTTTATACTGAATGGAAAGCAGTCGATGTGATTATGCTGCCATAACCACAGAGAAAGGGTCTATGGTRTAAGAACTAAATTATCGGGTCCCAGTGCCTTTACTTACCAATGGTGGTGCCCTGAGAATGACCAACATAGTGTATCTTCTCCTGCCCAGTTTTCTTTACAATGAAGTCAATTGTGGCTGGAAGGTCATATTTAGCCATTTCATCAAAACTGCAAGAAAAAAATAGACAAAATAAATCTGAATATATTTTCTTGTTAGAGTTTTTAAAATTCAAGCATGTTCTTGGATAAGGTTCTATTTCTGTTAGAGAAATAGAAAAACTAGATTCTCTAAATATTGCAGCTTAAAAACCCTTAGCAAGGGCCAGGTGCCCTTTGGGGTAGTTTCTTATAAACAACTTATAACATTTCTAAAGTACAACACTATGGCTACAATCTAATTCAAACAAGAGAGTAACTGTAGGTGGGAATTATTTCCATCCCTGAAATGGAATGTTAGATTTAATAAGCATCTGTATGCTGTGTTCCAGTGCCATTTAATATGAATCCTRTCCCTCTCTATTTTATTCTTCACAACTCAGCCAGAATGACACTTTGAAAATAAAAACTCCCAGTTTAAAACTTTTCAGTGACTTCTCATTGCATTTAGAGTGAGTTCCAGCATCTTCACCATCATCTACATAGCCTTGCCTGAGCTGATGTTTATCAGCATCTCTAATCTCCTCTTACATCACTTGCTTTTTCCTCATTCCACCTGGGACACAAGTGTTTCCTTTTAGCTCCTAGAACTCCTAGAGCACTTTTGTTCCCTTAGCATTATCAGCCAAATTATCTTGTTCTCTTTCTCCCTCAGTAATTTCCAGGAATAAGGTACAAGAAGGTTAGTGATAGGAAACCTTTGAAAATCTCTCCATGTTGACTGAATTTTGTTCTTCATGATGATGCAGGTTGAATCCCCAAACAGGTTCTAACAGAATCCATATGGATATTCCCTTTGAAATTTGCCAGGGGCAGTGAATTCCCTTCAGCAATATTGTTCATTAAACTTGGAAAAGCATATTCAGGAATCCCTACATAGTGAGTAACTGAGRTCACAGAAAGTTTGAACCAAAAGCTATTTTCGAAATGAGGTATATGGAAGCATTTAAGAAAAGATATGAGTAAAAATGTCTTCCTTCCCTTCTTAATTGGAGCATAATTTGTTAAGATGAGACTGAATTGGAAAGAAAGATGTCTRTACTTTTAAAGCCCARTGATTTTTTTAACACAGATGTCTTTATGATTTGTTTTATTTATTAACAGTACAACATTTTCAGCATTYTGAAATTTCACAATGTTTGATTCAGTTTAGATCAAAATATCCAAGCCCACATGAGCGAGAACGAAGTGAGATTACCTTTTTAAAGCCCAAATATTATTCTTTTAAAAAATTTTTTTAGTTGTTGATAGACCTTTATTTATTTGTATGAGTGCTGAGAATCAAATCCAGTGTCTCACACATGCCAGGCAAGTGCGCTACTGCTGAGCCACAGCCCAAGCCCCCAATGATTATTCTTTTTTTTTTTTTTTAAAGAAAGAGTGGGAGAGAGAGAGAGAGAGAATTTTTTAATATTTATTTTTTAGTTCTTGGCAAACATAACATCTTTGTTTGAATGTGGTGCTGAGGATCGAACCCCGGCCTCACGCATGCCAGGTGAGGGCGCTACCGCTTGAGCCACATCCCCAGCCCCCCAATGATTATTCTTAATAGCTCATTTTTATTGTCCRTTTTCTTTACCTGAAAGCCCAGAATTCAACTGAGTCTGGTGAATAGTACAAATTTCTCCTGGACCAGGTATTTCCTCTGCTGTTGCCCAACCACACGTCAWAACCAGCGTCTGCCAGAATGAAGGCCAGGCTGTTGTTGGGCAGGTTTGCAATCCAGTTTGTGGCTGATGCAAGCAAACCATGCTGCAGAAACACCACAGGTCTGTGGCCTAAAGAATACAATTATTTTAAAACATTATAAATTTACTCTTTTTTTCTAAGATAAATGTGTGACTGGGATTAAACGCGTTTGTTTGAGTTGAATATATTTGAATATGTTATCTTACTCATCTTTACTCAGGTGGTTGGTTTCTCAGATGCCAAAGCTTATCAAATGTTTACTTAAAATATGTGTATCCCATGGTACACCAATGTACTTCAAGAAAGGTATTAATTATATTTGCAATAAATTCAGCACTAGGTTGATTTAGGTGRACTATAAATAGTAAAGTTATGGGGGGTAGTTTTTAAAATTTTTATATTATTTTTATACTACATAATTTTCCTACAGTGAAAAAAAAATTTTAATAGTACCAGCAAATATGGCCTGTAATTGGAAAATAGGTTTCAAATGGCCTCCACATGGTCTCCTCTACAACACACCCTGGATAACTTTTTTGATCCTTTAGGACTGAGGTCAGTTACTATCTCTGAGAGCAASTTTCCTTAGACATCTTCATCAAGTCTTCCAGTTTCATAGCCTGTGCACAGTCGTAGCTTTGGACTTAACACATTTCATTATAATCATTTGTTCATTTATCCATCTCATTGACTAAATGGTGATCTCCTCGAGAATCAAAAAATATGGATGAATTTTTGTTGTATTTCCAAAATGAGCAAGATTTATGAAATCCTTAGAAAGAAATGAAAGGAGAAACAGATGGAAGGAATGTGGGGGGAAGGATGGAGGAAGGGGAAAAGGAGAGGCAGGAAGGGAGGAGGGAAGAGGAAAAGGGAAAGATGGGAAAGGGAAGGAAGGGAAGAAGGTTATACCTTTGTTCTCTGAGTTTTTCTTTCCATAAGGAATTCTGAAGACCCCAAGGATATAACCGTCTTCAGTCACAACTTCATATTCTTCACTTGGGTATCCCCAGTAGGAAATCATTTGATTCTGATGAGGAAGTCCAAAAGGGTTAAGTTTTAGCTGGCTTTGGAAATACATCTAATGACTAGATAATGTTAATTATTTTCACTGGTCACTTAAAAATTTAAACCCACTGTGATTCTAAATCACATTAATATCTCTTAACTTTTATAGATAGCCATCCCCCTACCCCGCCTCTGGTTAACTTACAATATTCATGTGGGCTTCAGGGCTCTCAGGTGCTACTTTTCCTAAGAAACCATGCGTAGTTCCAAATGCAGAGATCAAACTTGCCACTGCTAAAATCGACCACATTTTGAACTGTCCAGAAACAAAAGAATGGCCTGTGCTATGGTTAACCCATTATACTTTCATAATACTCATATTTTGTGACAATATTACCAATATGAAAAGTAGAGAAATGTTTGAGGTTGATTATATTCTCTTGGACAATAAACTGGGACATGTGGATGTCAGTACAGTCATCTTAATGTTTAACATGTTTTCTCCCTGATTTCATTTGTTTAAGAACACTTATTTAAATTTCAAGTCTTCTTGAAGGAAGTTTAGATGGCAAAAACAAAACCTCCAACTGTTCATATTCTTATTATGCCATATGTTTAAGATTTTTGCCCAACTGATTTGAGAACTCAGTGTGGGAGTGAGAGTTGTATAGGCATTTGATGTCCTTATATTTAACCTCAATATAATATGCACACAAACTTACCATGACATTATTAAAAAGTATTCTTTATAATAGTTACTACGTAACAATTTATTGACTTAATGTTATTATATGGATTTAAAAGCTGCCGTCAGCTCAAAATGCCACCCATAAACAGAATAATGTGTGAATATGATTTTAAGAAATTTATTGCTCTTTTAATTTTTGTTGTTGTTGTTTTGTTTTGCAATGCAGGAAATCAAACCCATGGCCTAATGCATGCTAGGTCAGTGCTCTACCTCTGAACTAGAGAAAGAGTCTTACTCTTTTAATTTTTTTCTTGGAGATTTTATTTCATTAAAATTATGTAGATCATGAAAATTATAAATCAGCAATGTGTTGGATGATCCAATACCTTCACAAGTATTTAACAACAAAAAGAAAAATCAGTGTCACTATATTAAAAGAATTCAGAACGTTTTTCTAATTTAACCTTTCATGTTTTGCTGTAGAAAAATAGTAATCCACTTCATAGATGACAAATAATTTCAAGTAGACTGAATTAGTTTTACTATTTAAATGAATGGTCTTTCCACTTAATTGTGTATCAAAATTGTTAGGCTTTTTGTAATTGGAAAGCAATACAGGCCAGAAACAAAATGGACCTATTTTAAAATGAAGGAAATGTTTTTAGTTGAAAATAGCCCAATGGATGATCCTACTAGATTTAACCCCTCAAATACTGAGTAGGCTACAGCTCAAAGTGACTTGTCAATTTTAAAACTTATCATCCTTGGCTGTCAACATGTGGTCCTTGAGGCAACTACTCTTGGATAATGACTAGGAATTCCATMTACCCTCAAAATTACTAGAATTGAACAAGTGTATTTTATAGTTTTTGCATTTTGATTAAAATTTTGGTTTACAATTTTCTTTTTTCAAAGGAACATTTCAGGAGGACTCTACCTTTTGATCTTGTGATAATTGTCTCTTGTTTCTCAATACAGAAAATATTTGACATTGGACTCAGAAAATCTAAACTTCCTTCTATAAATTTGAGAATCTCCAGATACTAAACTGTGAAAAATCCCCAAGGGAGAACTGCTATTTGTTCTCAAAAAATTGAAAGGATATTATGGAGATAGCTTTAAATCAAATCCTTTAGTGTATGTGTGAGGTAAATCACACAATAATTATTTACTGAATAACTAATGCATGTTAGAAGCAATATTTAGCTGTCACATGTAGAAAAATTTTAATTGCTTTTGGTGAAGAATTTSTAAAATTTGTATCAGTGGATTCAAGTGAGGTTCTTTTAAAAGGGATAACTTCTCAGTTGTTGACAATATTTCAACAAAGGCTATAAAACCATTTGTCATAGTTCACTTAGCATAGTTCCTGACTTACAGAAAAGCCAGAATAAAAGTCTCAAGGTCTAAATCTGACCCTCCTGGCTAACTTAGTAAGAGAAATCATATTTATTGGCAACTCTTAAAAATTAGTTTTTAACCAGACCTTGTCTTTACAATGAAATTTTAGGAAGGGACACACTAGTATTCAAAGACTAACCAGCAGTGTTTTCACATTCAAACCAGAAAGTTTGATCCAACTTTTCAGAAACCCTCTGTTTTATTCCCTCGATAGCCTTCCTCAAGTAATTTATTACTGTWAAGACATTTAACCTATGGTTTGAGTTATAGGACACCCCAAAAATCCAAGTTAGCCGCACGGGCTCAGAAATGTTCAGGGACAGAATAAATGCCTCAAAGAACCTGTCACCAAGTTTTAAAACAAGAATAATAACTAACTTCTATAGAGGACTCTCCATAGGCTGGAGGGTATACTCAACATGTAACATATATAAGTGAGTTATCTTCACTAAAATGTTTCCTATTTCTATAATCTAAGATCACAATAGTGCGTTTCTTGATGGTATGAGCATTCATTATATAAAGAAAGTAAAGTTTTCAATATGTTTGGCATCTAGTAAGTTTTTGATAAATATAGTTATTATTACTTTCATCTCACTTAATTTTTATAACAACCCTATTAAGTAGGTAGCATTGTATTCCCTATTTTGCAGATAAGCAAAGCAAGGCTAGAAAAGAACTTGCCCAATGAGCCTGCATATAGTAGTATGCCTATATTTGAAATGAGGTTATCTCTYTTAAAGATTATATTTTTCTTCACTATAATGCTTCTTTAGGATGATTATATGTCACCTTCTATAAGGAGCTACTTGGCACAGTCACAGAGAGATTTACACAAATTTTTCCAAACTTCTGTTTCAGTTGGGCATTGTGGTGCATGCTTGTAATCCCAGGGGCTTGGGAGGCTGAGGCAGGAGGATCTAGAGTTCAAAGCCAGCCTCAACATCAGTGAGGCGCTAAGCAACTCAGTGAAGCTCTGTCTCTAAATAAAATACAAAAAAAAAAAACGGGCTGGGGATGTGGCTCAGTGGTCGAGTGTCCCTGAGTTCAATCTCTGGTACCAAAACAAAACAAAAYAAATTTCTGTTTTGAGAAGTTTCAAATTTGCAGAAGTATATGTAGACTATGAAGTATGCTATGAAGTTTAACTCAACCACAGTTAATTTGAATGATATTAAATTATATGATATAGCATGTTTATAAAGTCAATTCATATAACACTAGAGGACCAGCTTCTCAAAAGGGAGAGTGAGAGAAAAGACTTTTACATTAACACTTGTTACAATAGTGAAAAAATTTGTTATTCATAATAAAAGTCAAGAATTTCATGTACTTTCAAAACAAATCAAATCCTAGAGGAATAAGCCATAATTCAGATAAACACATTTATATAGGTGAATATACAATAACTATTTATGTCTTTTAAACCTGCAATATTTGGGTTAAAGAAACAAATGAATCTAGAATTCAGATAATTTTGCACAGCAGAAGTTGTACTTACAGTCTCCTCAGAAACAGAACTAGGTTTCTGAATGGTCAGGATTTTGGTTAATGGTACATTTGCCTTTTATATACAAAAACTTCAACAATGGCCAGAATTAGTCATCCTCTAATTAAATTACCAYAAATTCTTAATATCTGGACATCATTTTATGTTGGAAGGACAAACCTAAAAATCAAATATTGCATTCAAGTTCACATGAGTGAACCTTTAACTTTTAACAAAAGCAAATATTGAGCAAAGGAACTTTGATGATTAAAAATGATTTAGGAAACATTAAGATTGATCGATAGCTTAAACATATAAAACTATTGAATCAAAGATATGACACAAACAATTATTAATTTTGTTCCAGATAAAGAGAATTAAGATGGTAAAAGGCTCTAACTCCTGTGCTTCAACAATGCAACACAAGCTATTCTGACCAAATGATGAGATAATGAATGTGATCAACATAGATTAACGCTTTTTATGGTCTTTGACCTGGGTCTATTACCCTCCAGATAATGATATCCAAAACCCAGTCCCTGGCTTTTCATAACACATGAATTGTACCTTTTTAAAAAATACAAAATCTACTTGATGTGGTTTCAACAATGTGAATGTGTTTATAAATGGGTTATACAATTCAAGATTTTTATTTAAAAATGTAGTCAAGTCTTTACAACTACCATGAGCATCTGTGGCTGATGGTAAAAGAAAAACAAAATCATACTTTGATTTGTTAAAATCATTTGCAATTTGTTTTTAGGAATCTCTATTTGCTTATTAGTATGTATATGCCTAGCAGAAATAGTGAACAAATATTTTTTATTGTTCTTCTTTGTTATACATGACAGCAGAATCCATTTTGATAAAATTATACAAGCATGGGACATATCTTATTTTAATTAGGACCCCATTCTTGTGGGTGGGCACAATCGTGGGATTCACTCAGGTATTTTCATATGTGTGTATAGGAAAATTATATTAAATTTATTCTACTATCTTTCCTATTCCTATCCCCCTTCCTGTCTTTTCTTTCCCCTTTGTATAATTTACTGAACTTCTCTTCTTGCCTTTATTGTGGTCTAGCTTCCACAAATGAGCAAAAACTTTTAACCTTTGGTTTTGGGGGATTGTCTTATTTCACTTAGCATAATAGTTTCTAGATCCATCCATTTACCTGCAAATGTCATAAATTCATTCTTTTTTTGTGGCTTAATAATAGTCTATTGTGTATATATACCACAATTTCTTTATCCATTCATTTGTTGATGGGCATCTAGATTGGCTCCATAGCTTTGCTATTGTGAATTGTGCTGCTATAAAATTTGATGTGGTTGCATCACTGCAGAATGCTGATTTAAAATCCTTTGGATATACACTGAAGAGTGGAATAACTGGGTCACATGATGGTTTCATCCCTAATTTTTTGAGGAATCTCCATACTGCTTTCCAGAAGGGTTGCACCAATTTGCAGTCCCACCAACAATGTAAGAGCATTCCCTTTTCCCCACACTCTCACCAACATTTGTATTACTTGTACTCTTGATCATTGCCATTCTGACTATATCGAGATGAAATCTTAGTGTAGTTTTGATTTTCATTTCTCTAATTGCTAGACATATCGAACATTTATTCATATATTTGTTGACCATTTATATTTCTTCTTCTGTGAAGTGCCTGTTCAGTTCCTTTGATCATTTAATCGGTTGGGTTATTTGGGGGKTTTTTGGTG